CTCCTTCCAGTTCTTCGCGTTGGCTAAGCCTGGATTGTCTCGTGCCTCCGTCGCCCTCTTGGCCACTGCCAAGAATACTTGTGCGCGCGCGGGGCCCATCGGCATCCCTGGCAGCGGCTAGGCGGGGTCTCCTGGCGGATCCCCGCTGCCTCCGTCGGGTATCCGCGCCTCGCTTGCGAGCCAGCCTGCGTCAACTCGTGCTGCGCGGGCATCGTCATGGTCGCGAAGTCGGCCACCATCGGCATCCTCAGCGTGAAAGAGTTACCGATGACCGCCCTCATCAGGATGGGGAACAATTTCGCCAGGATCTGGGCGTCCATCGGTGGCAGCTCCTCGATCGCGTCCGCTGGAGTGCCATAAGACCTGCCCGTCTCCATGGCCATGGGGTCGTTTGCCGCTGGGGCCCCGCGAGCAACCTGAGCGGGGGGCTGTGCCAGCTGTGCCTGCCTCGCGCCGCCGCGCGGCGGCTGGCCGCACCTGGCCCCTGCCACCGCCCGAGGTCCTCTGCCGCGCCGGTGGGGGGCCGCTTCCGAGCCAGAGCGGCGTCTGCGCGAGCCTCCCGACATTGAGTGTCCGCGCGCCTGCGCCGGGACCTCGCCGCTCAGTCGGCGCATCTGCCGCGAGAGATGTGAGAGGTCGTCGAAGGGTGCGAGAGATGCGAAGATGGCGATTCAGCTCAGCTCGATCCTGAGAAGGCTCAGTACGGGCACGGTGAATGTCCGTCAGGTAGTGCTCGAGCTCGGCACCAAACACAGAGGCCAGGGTCAACTCAGACACGGGGGGCAACGCGGGCTCTCGGGCTCCAGGACGGGGCGGAAGAAAGGCGCGGTGTTCGGGGGGGCGCCAACCTTTCAGGACGGCCTGGGCCGCATGTTCTCGGGCGATGCGTCGGGGTCGGGGCGCGTGGCAGCAACAAAATGCACATTGGTTCGTGATCGTGATAGAGCGGGCCGCAGTCCTACGCGAGCGCACCCCGTGCTTCGAGAAGCGTTGATGAGCGTGGGGCCCTTCGAATTCGAGATGCGCGCCCGCGCGCCTTTCCCTCGGAATCGACCGGGTCGCAGGACCCGCGCGCCGTCGGTGGCGGGGGCACCTCGGGATCTCCAGCGACGGCCTCGCGGCCAACTAGAGGACCATACAAACCAGGAAGAGGAGGAATGGCAACCGTCTTGGCCGCCGCGCCTAGGGCCCCAGGGTCGAGCGCCAGGAACTGCTCCCGAAGATCCTCGTCCAGGAAGAGGGCCCTCGAGCGCGACCTCTCAAGAGGCTGCTCCGAGACCCCTGTGAAAATCCACGGCTCCTCGAGTATCTCGTCAGCAGACTTCTGAACGAGGGCCGGGACGTCGGGCGCGAAACGCTTGGCATGCTGATTGGCTCTGGGGAGACTCCAGCTCTGCTCGCGCAGCGCGGGGTGATCCTCCACTTGCAACTGTCCGAAACTCGCGCCGGACCCCTGTGGGCGAGAATCTGGGGTGCGAATCCACCTCTGGTGATGCCGCAGTCTGCGCGCCCTCAACTCGACGCCTGACGGCGCCGCCCCAATCCTTGCAGCCCTGCCGACAGGCCTGCATACGTCTCCGGAACTCCCCTTGGCCTCTCCCATTCACAGACGTTTGACTGCCCAGCGCGATGTCGTCGAATTGGACTCGGCCAGGGGGCGAGATCTCGCCCCCGAACGCAGCAGCCCTATCGGCCTTCGATCTTGGACCAACGAGCGGTGGCGAGACGCTGCTGTTCTCTGGGTCATGTGCGTAGCCGTCGACAGACAGCGAGTTCTTCAAATGCAAATGTGCGTGTTCTATGGAAAATTCGCACTCTGGGATGAGCTCGCGACGTGCGTCTTGTTCGCGCTGTCCGCGTAGAGCCCGCGCGACGCGGCGACTGGGCGCCGGGGAAATCGGGATCCGCGCCGGGCACGTCGACCCTGGCACTGGCTCTTGCTCCAGCCGCTCCGAGCACGTCTGAGGGCGCGGAGGGGCCTGGACGCGCCGCGTCTGATCCCGGGGGGAGTCGCCATCTGTGCACAGGCTGCCGAAGCGCCCTCGCGAAGAACATCGCCGCTGGGCCGTCGCCTATGAAAGCCCTGCACAGGTTGTGCATCGCCTGCCCCCCGTCGGCGCCCTTGATCGCGAAGGTGCTCGTCTCGTGCCGCTGCAGGAAGTGGACCTGCGAATGCTCCTGGGTCAAGGCCTCCACCGCGCGCCGAAGGGCCGAGAAGGCCGCGCAGCCGAAAGCGTTCGCCACGCCCTCATTAGACGCGACCGTGGAGATGCCGAGCTACCGCAAGCGCAGCAACAGAGCCTCCTGACAAGAAAGAGCTCCCTCTCGGCCCCGCCCCCGATGATGGCCGCGCTCGCGATCGGGCGCTGCGTCAGCGGGCCCTCGGCGCAGTTGAGCCTCGTGCCAGAGCGCCCCCACGCGGCGCGGCCAGTCGATATAGCGTCGCGGCGAGGGCCCCCCCTTGCCATTCCGCTAATTCCAGCCCGTCGCTCGAGAGCGA